TGTGCCTGTTGAGTTGTTTTTAAAATTGTGGTATTGTTTGTCTATGTCTTTTTCCCCCTATTTGTATCCCCTATCCCCCCCCCCCTTGGGTTGTGAGCCGCCCTGAGTCCCTTCTTGGGAAAAGGGCAGCATAGAAATATAATAAATTCAATTCAAATTCAATTCAATTCAGAAACTGCTTTCCTTTCCTTGCTATTATAGGTCTGTCCAACCTTAGCAATTCTAGGACTTGTAGACTTCCAGAATCCCCATTATTTCAGTGTGATCACCCCCATCCTCACGTTAAAGACTGTCCATTTAAAAAGCTGCCCATTAAACCTCCTTGCCCATAAGAAAGACGTGTGAGAAGCCGATTTACGCCATCCTAGACTGGTTGTCCATTTGGTTTGGTAGTTTAACCTCTTGTCTGGAATCTTTCCTGATTCCTTTATTGTGAATGATTGCAGGTGGGAACTCGTGAGTGATTATTGACAAGATGGGAAGTGTTTGCATCACCATCAGTGATTGAGTTCACTGGTTTGGTGGTTCTGGGAGAATTAGAGATGGGAGATGTTGCTGGGGGCAACAGAGTCACCAGTGTTGCAACTGGCGTTTTTTTCTTCCTCAGCAACTGGATCTTTTGATTGACGCGTGATCAGTTAGAATCATCTGGCTTAATGGGTGACCCTCCAGATTGATTGGAAATGGGGCCCCTGTGGGAGAACAGAGCAGATGGATCTTGAAACCAATTGCAGATGGATGATAATGGTGATGATCTGCCATTGATTTCGTAATGTAATCTGTAATGTAATGTAATCTCAATTTTGTAAATGTAATCTGATCTCAATTTTGTAAACATAACGTTAATGTAAACCTCAATTTTCAGGCAACCAATCTAACTGCTCAAGAGCATGAAAATATTATTGTGGTAAGTTACAAAAACTCTTTTCTTGGGAAGGGGGGGATAATGAGTCTCCTTCCTTGAGTTTGACTTCTCTAGGGTAGTCTTTCTCCATGATTTTTTTTAAAACTACAGATTTAACATGGTTTCATTCCAAGGTTATGTAGTCAAGTAATAACTAAGAGAAACGGTTGGGAACATTATTTTCATCCCCCCCCCCTTCCCCTAAAATATATAAAGAGAAAGGATGGAATTTAGGAAGTTGCAAGAATTAAATTTTACAGCCCATCCATTGCGTAGCTTGTATTGTTAGTATTCATTACATGCAGAGTCTAAAAAATTAGTAGAATGTAAGGATTGAAAGGGATGTTCCAGTATATCTTTCCCAAAATAATTAAAGTGCATCTGGTTGGCTAAATGAGGTGAAGGAGAAGTTTATATTCTTCTTACGTATTTCGTTATCTTTTCCTTGTAAAAATGCTAGCCAAGTCAGCCGTTTATCACAAAGGTGAATATGGTCTCCTTAATTTTCTTGCTGAATTTTGGAAGCACACAATTTCCAATACCATTGTTAAGGAACCTTACCTTAGTTACCATTTTCATCTGGTTCCGTAATGGTCTCAACAAACCTTCCAACACAAATAATGTGACCAAAGAGCAAGTGCAATAATAATCTGTTGCCAGATGTGTGTGCAGCTTTGCTGTCACTTAAAAATCCTTGGAGAACTTTCTAAAGAAGGTCAAATACTTTAGCCACCAAAGTATGGGACTCCTTGGAAAAGACCCTGACGTTGGGAAAGGTGGAAAGGAAAAGGAGAAGGAGATGGAAGAGGATGAGATGGTTAGACTCAATGAACATGAATTTAATACTATAAGCCCTCCAGAGCTATCCTGTGGTAAAATGGACGGCCAATAAATTGAATAGGGGGGTGAGTGGATGGATGGATGGACGGACAGATGGATGGATTTGGACAAATTCCAAAAGACACCAGAAGACAGGGAGGCCTGGTGCAGAGTGGTATTCAGCAGGTTCTGGCCAGTTCTGGAGAACCAGTAGCGGAAATTTTGAGTAGTTGGGAGAACCAGTAAATGCCACCTCTGACTGGCCCTGCCCCCATCTATTCTCTGCCTCCCGAGTTCCAGATGATTGGGAGGGAATGGGGATTTTACAGCATCCTCCCCCTGCCACACCCACCAAGCCATGCCCACCAAGCCACACCACACCCACAGAATCGGTAGTAAAAAAAACGTTGAATCCCACCACTGGCCTGGTGGGCTGCGGTCCATAAGGTCGTGAGGGATCAGATATGATTTATCAACTGAACGACAACACATGGATTAGGAAATTATTTTCCGTTCAATTCTCAGGAGGTTTCAATAACAGAGAAATTTATCCTCTGCTTGAGTAGCATTAGTTATGTGAGTCTGTCTTCCAACAAGATAAGTCCGTCTTGAATGCCCACGCTCTCTGTTTGGCTTTAATGTAGGCCTGTGGCTTTTACATGTGTGTTAGTTGGTGTGTTAGTTGTCTCTTTAAATCCAAGTGGAGAAGATATTCAAGCAGTTTAGTTTCCAAAGAATTGATGCTCTGAAAAAGAATTGCCAGAAAGGTTTTTGCAGAAGCTTCTTCCTGTCTTTAAAAAAAACAACAACTGTTTTTGCAATCTGGTACCTGGAATTCTTTAGCCCCAAGACAGACTAAACCTTGAAGAATCTTCTGTTCTGACAATACATCATAATTTACAATCGTGGCAACAGTGACATAATCTGATTATGGGGCTGCTGTTACTCTTAGTGCCATTACAGCATGTAACTGCGTTTGAGTTGCCTAGCAATGAACAGAGAAAGGATGAAGTTAGGAATTGGGAAAACAAGAGCTTTGTTGGAAAGGAAGAAGTTTCCACTTGCTTTGGAAAATTCCCATGTTCCTGGCTTTTGAAACTCTTCAAACAGGACTGTTACTCCAAGAGAGAAAGATGGGCCCAAATGATCAGAGGTTGCAAAAAGAGGTGATCCTCAGAATATCTTAAGTAATATGTTGCCAGATGTTTTGGATAGGCAGTCCAGATCCTTATTAAGACTACTAAAAAATCAGGGAAGAATAAATCATTTTCCTGAAAGCAAATACCTTGTTTCCTGGAAAATAAGACAGGGTCTTATTTTCTTTT